AAATACAGAACAGTTTACAAACAATGCCACTGTCGGTCGCCACTGTGCAGCGCCCTATAATTTGAGCTAGGGTTGTCGTGTCTTGCTCAAGGACACACTCCAGTGACCACCCATCTGATCTCCGTGTCACCGACACTTGCTTGACATTGCTTGAGTCAAAACTCACTACTCACTTAGCCACTGGAGCCCCCAGTGTTAACTGTTCTTGGAATAGAGCTTGCGGTTTGAAGCCAAAGTTTTAAAATGATTTAGCTCTGAAGAGGTGCTGAAAATTTCTTTTGTTTTGCAATTGCCTAACCTTTTTATGGGACAATTATTGGGTGCTTCCATGACTTGCCAAAGTTGGCAATGGTGCCTTGATGATGAATCGTGTGGAATTGTCAGAATTTTTGTCTCTGAAACAATTTTTTTGGCTGTTATTATACCCAGATTGTTTATTTTTTTCTTCGCCCATAGCTGTGGCTTTGATGTTTATGAATGTCATGTGTAAGATAAATGTTTAGTACAGTGCCTAACAAGTTGAAAGTCAAGTTTGGAGGAGGGTTTTTTTTCACATGCTTCCTCAAGTTTTAGGCATTCTAAATCCAATTTGTGATGATTTTACTGGAGTTTCCGAATTTTCTTTTCATGTTTGTTGTTCTACATCCCGCTTATGGGTTCGCAAAGTATATCCAACTAAGTTGTTTGTTTCAAAAATCCTAATCCTTTTCTTTTTTCTTCTTTTATTTCTCACCAGAATTCTTTGGATTTTTTTCTGTTACTAACTGTGATTTATTATTGATGATAAAATATTACATACCAGTATTGTCTTTGCCAAATGTTTTGAATAGTATTTTGCAAAATTATTTTATATCTGTTTATAATGAAATCAATTATTGTCTGATAAGAGTTGCTAAAGAGAAAATAATATGTATATTTGAAGCAAATTATATAATATATCTGTTACAGTTTGCGACATATTTCGTCAGTTATTTAAACTTATTAATGTTTGTTGTTTTCTGCACAGCTTGTGTCTCACTGGAGTTTCTTTCAGCTGGATACGAGTCTGTTTTTATGTGCATCTAACTGGTCTAGTTCCTGACATATCATTATTGCTTTTGTTTATTACTAGACCTGCAGGGTCTCTTAAGTGTTGTTGTCATGGTTACTGTTATTTTGCTGTAATGAAATGCGGTGTACTGTTGTTCAACTCTCTAGACGCTAATTAATGAAGCTGAATACACATTTTGATTTAGTGCTGTAGAAATTTGTTTTTATAAAACATTCTTATATATAACAATTTAGCTTTTTCTTGTTGTTTTTATTTTTCTACAGTTGGCTTTTGAATAAACTTTTAATGACTGATTTTTTTTTCTGGTTAACAGAAAATATTTGTTAAAACAATAACATGAATGACTGAATTTATTTTTCTCATGCATTTTGTTGATTTCTGTCTTTGAATCATGCATTTTATGAATTCTGTTGAGCTACCCTTCTCCCTCCGAGACCTAACATGGACAACACACTCTATGGAACATTACAGCAACTGCAGCAGACCTGCACTTATCACTACATGGCATTGGACAGAAGGGCGAGAGCCCAGCTGTTGCTGGATCGATAACAACAACAACAACATGAATTCTGTTTTCCAGATTCGGACTGTATTTTGAAGTCTCTTTGAGAGATTTCTCAGTTAAAGCTTTCGAGGTTTGATTGAAAAGTCCCCAGTACTGCCCTCATTTTTAAAAAAATTATGTCAGAGTCTGTTATGTGACTGCATATCATCCCCCTCCACACAGCTGAGAACTCTTGAGTAGTTCTTAAAAGCAGATGGAATCAAAAGACATCAGTGCAGCGCTTATCTAGCTTTTTCTATGCTGCGCCCACTTTTGCCACCTTCATGAGGTGAAAAATTTTTATACCGCCCTCATACATATATTAATATTCTCAAGAGGGGCATTAGACACCCAATCACAACCTTGGTGATCCCCACAGCCCACCAAAATTACCATGTAGTTCTCTACCACCAAGGTTGGCAAGCATTTCTTTAGTGTAATTTTTTAACGAATCAATTACATTTATTTTGAAAATCCTTGTTCGATGTGTTTACTTAGAGGGCCTTTGCCTGAAGAACATACAATTGTGTATTGGCAACCAAAGCCTCAGTTAAGGAACATGAGCACTTGGTTAAGGTTTAGCTAGATATTCTCTTTCATAATTTTCCATTTGTGATATTTACCATAATTTATGTTTTCCTTGTTATGCATAGTTCATCGATCAAAGTGCTTTCTCAAAGTTAAGTGATTTATAATGTATATATTATTATGTAAAACCATTGGTATGTCTTCTCAAAGCAACAGATAGGATCAACTTGCGTTGGAAAAATTTCATTTGAAAAAAATGTAATCAGATGTAAAGTGACCATGACTATCCTACTTTACAATTTCTTTTTATATCTTTAAATATATTAGTCATTGTGGTAAAATCAGGCGCTTGTTAAAATAATGAAATTTAAGAAAGGGGCATTTTCCTACCACTTTGGCAATTTTAATTGAACTTTTATGTGGCTCAACATTATTATGTCCATATACAAAAACACGTTTCCATGTGAATTTTACTGAGAAACTTTGATTAAGGCACAAAATATATAATGTTTGTTTTTTCTATAACTTTCAGGCTATTGAAGACACTAAACTTGGGCAGCAATTTTCAGGCTAACTTTATCACTGAAATTAGACAACCCAAACTCCTTCAATCGCAAATATCTCGACTTCTATTTTAGATAGTTGGGTATTTTTTTCATTGAGAGCCAGACAAAAGAAAACGATTTCAGATGATATAAATAACTCCACATGCCCAAAAATTGACGAGCGCCTGATTCCACCACATCGTGACAAATATATGTAGATCTATGTTTTCTACCACCAGTAGTTATAAATTATAAGACTATGTATAAATCTGTATGTTGTATAAAGATATTTAAATATTATATATTTTCACACTGAATGCAATTTTTGGCCATGGCTGTGGTTTCCTGCTGAACTGTGATGTGGGTGACCTTGGTTCAAATCCCCACTGGAGCTTCCTTGAACTTGAATTTTTTTGGACTTTTTAAGAATTTACTACTGCTTGACGCAGTTCTATTGGAGGTAGATATTTTATTCCAAGAACCCATTTCTTGAGTAACCTTACATTTCTTATTGAAGTGTACCATACATTGCCTTACCAACGCAATATAAAAGAATGAAATTTTTTTCCCTTATATTCTAACACCATGTGTATATTACATGTTTATGATTTTGGATACAAAGTGGCCAAGTTTGAAAGTCTGAAAAAAAGTTTGTTTTCATATATGATGAATGATAAATTAATTTTATGGGTCTATGTCATGTTCAGAAAATATTCACCCTGAGATCTTTGTTTTTTTAATTGCAAGAAAACAAAAGAAAAAAATCCATTCCGTTTAATACACTATCTGAAGGCTGGGTTGGTTTGTTGTCTCTCACATTTTACATAAGCTTTCCTGGACTACAATACTTGGCTATTTTTGCAGTATCTCAAATGATTGATAACTAAGAGAAAAAGCATTCCATGATTATTTTCTAAGTCTGATAATCTACAAATATGATGTATATTTGGCAGCTATTAATTTATGCTGTATCCCAGTTTGTTGCTTGCTCTTTTCCTTCCCACTTTACATACAACTGAAAATAAATCTAACTGCAAATGGCGAAAGGAAGCTGGCTTGTTTTTTAAAAATCTCTGACGTAATTAGAAAACTTGAGTGATATCAATAGTTTGATGGCATCGGCAGGCTTACTTTGGAATTTGAAGGTCTTGGGTTCAAGTCCTGTTGTACAATTTCCATTCTCGATCCTGCTCCTTCATATTAATTCTTGTCTTGAGCTTCAAATTCAGCCTTTTTGTGATTTTCATATTATTGAAAATATAAGGAAATTTTTTAATTTGCACAAAGTGATACATACAAAAACAAACACAGACATCAATATTTCCCGAGCTTTTTCTCAAGCTGCCAAATTAAAAATATGATCTGCGTTTCAGATGTTCCACGCACCAGCTTTCTTCATGTACGCATCACAATCACAGTTCTGTTACATACCCATAATGAGAATTTCAACAAATAGCATTTATATAGCACATATTCCTGCTCAATAGCAAGTTCTATACATGCTTTGCAATCTATAGTATTACACCTGCTGACCTTAAAGCACTGAAAAACATTCTCAGCTTCCACAAGCAGTGCGAGCAGTCAATAAAGCCCTTAAACACCAAGAAACTGACAAGATCTTTTGCTGTCTATAGCCAAAGACCCATTTCTACCAGGATGAAGTGAGGGAAATTTGTGTAAAGTGCTATACCCAAGAATGCAACATTAGGACCCTGATGGGATTTGAACCCACAAGTAATCATTAGACCACTGACACCACAATTCAGAGTACTATCATATTATGCTTTAAAATACTGTCACATACACATCGCATGACTGTCATGTCATGTACCTTGTACATCATAATAGTGTTATGATATTGTATATCATATATATATACAGTCAAACCTTGTTGAGTGGGTGGTTGGCAGATGTTCTGGTATGGTTTGCTCCTTCTTTCCTATCAAACATCTGTCGTCTTTATCTGCCATTCATATGACCTTAAGCAGTTGCAAACACCGTAAAACCTCTACTAAAACAAAAACAAACCTTGTTGCACCCCCCCCCCTCCTTATACCGCTAGCTCCCTTTTCCACCAGGTTTGCCAATTACTCCTTCACATCTCCATCTGCTAACTGTCTGAGAGGTACCGCCC